GTATCTCAGTTTTACTTCAACAATGTTAAAAAATTAGGTTGACTCAGCTACATGTTGGGAGGCTAATGCGGGAGGATCAAAAGTTTGAGGTAAGCCTGGACAACTTAGCAAGACCATGTCTCAAAAAAAAAGGAAAAGTGCTGGCAGTGTAGCTCAGTGCTCCCTCTTGTCCAGCCCCAGCACTGCAGCTCAGGTCACTATTTCTGGTGAGATGCAGTGTGCGCAGTCCACTGAGGCAGGCGTGAAGCTGGGCAGAGGCACAGGGAGCACCTGGAGACTCTGATAAATGAACAGCAGCAGGACAGCTGGGGCAGCTACAGAATGTGAAGTCCTACCGGACAGGCAGCGAGTCACCATCTTGTCCTCTTACTGCTTGGTCCTCGACATGGGGCCAGTGTCAGGGACTGTGCAGCAGGGCCAGTCTACCAAAGCCTCATATTTCTGGTTAGAAGATCAAAAACAGGGATTCCTAAAGGACCAGAAATGAGTGGAGAGATCACAGAGAAGAGCTCAGGAAAGCAATGTAACAGAACTGCTTATAAACTGCAAGGCTTGGCTTCTACCTGTACCTGTGCAGCTCTTGCCCTGAACAGCACATGAAGACTGACAGGCAGGCCAGCACAACACGCCTCAAGTCCTACCCTGACCCTAGGTGGCCGTCAGGGACCATCTGAATAGCACGCAGAGGCTTTGAGAACTGAATCTACAGCGGCACCACAGCACATGTGAAGTCAGAACAGGAATCCAGAGCCTTATCAGGCTGACTGCCCACGGAAACAAAAGTCACAACATTCTAGTGGAATTTTTAAACAAGACTCAGACTCTCATAATATCCAGATTGTCCAGTAAACAACTCTAAAGTACTAGACACATGAAGAAATAGGAAAATCTCAACTTGCATGGGAAAAAGCAATCAAAAGATGCCAATGCTAAGATGATACAAATAGTGGTATATTCTGACCAAGACTTTAGGTTAGCTTCTGTAAAAGTGCTCCAGTGTGTTTACTATATATACATTACTAAGACTGCAGGTGAATCAATCAAATCAACTATTCTTTCACAGCTTTTAAACAGGCCATAACTTGTTACTTCTTCATTAAAATGTCAAAATATGGGGAAAATACAGGTGAACTGAAAGACACAAACATTTTACATTTTCCTATTATTAGAGACAGGCATAGAGCAGAATAACATGAAGGGGGGGTGATGAGGTAGAACAGTCAGCTGGTAGCGATGATCTCTAGGGAGGGTGTGTGTGAAAAAGCATTTATAACTGTTTTGAAAAATATTAATCAGAGCAGGCAATGCAGTTCAATGGTAGAGAACTTGGCTTGCATGGGTGAAGCCCTGGGTTTGATCCCCAGCCCTACAATAAAATAAAAGTAAACTAAACTACATTTTGTGCACTTTAAGGAAAACAAATGTAATTCAGACTCCAGCCATCTATGACAATTGTATCTGGTTAAACAATGTGCAGCCGGATTTCAGTGTCATATGTTAAAAGAGGAAAGCACTAAAGTTACAGGAAAATAGATATAAATAATCAAATAACCTTGGGCTGAGGAAAGTTCATCGGAGATGTTACCAAGGCAGAGCCAGTAAGGGACTGCAGTGTGGGGACAGCCACAGGGCAGCAGCAACAGCACAGCCACGCATGGCTCACGGTGGGGACCAGGGCCAGATGTGCTGGACGGCAATGGGACAGAGCTACCTCAAGCAAACAGAGCACCTCTGCCCAGTGATCCCACACCTGAAAACTCGGCCCCACAAGAACACAGGCCCAGTACAACAGCATATGCCTGCCACTCAGGGAGGAATGACTCAGAGGGTGGCTGCACAGCATGGCCTCTTACTGAGCACATGCTGACCAGAGCACAGTGGTTGGCAGATGACCTGTAGGATTCCCATCAGCCAAGAGAAAAGCAAGAGAAAGAAAACAAATTCTAAAAGTAACACTGACAAAGCCATTACATGTCCGTGTATTTATGTATAAACATATATGGGCCTAGGTAGCAGTTTATTACAAGTCTGGAGCAAAATATAGACGTACATACTCTAGGCTGCTACCACAGGATTAGGGTTAAGGATGGGCTGAGACAGTGTGTGTGCGAGGGTGTCTCCAACGAAACAACACCCACACTGTCGTCTCATTTGTGTGCATGTGTGTACAGGTGTGCATGAGTGCACATAAAGGCATAAATTAGAGGGTAGACAGCAAAATGCTACTGCTGGCCCCCACAGGCTTCTGCTTCATTTATTTCTAACCCCTGCTTGAGCTCTTTTGAATGATTGTGTTTACAGACATACACATAACGTCAATCTATACATGTTCTGTATAGTGCTTGGCGTCACATCCAGGTCCTCACACATGCTATGCAAGAGCTATACCACTTAGCTACATACCTAGCTCTGATTAAATCCTATTTGTGTAACAAAAATGACAATAAATATGGCAAAATAATGTATATTTTAAAAATTAAAAGGCAAAACAAAATTGGGAAAAAAAATTTCAGCTTTTTATATAGGGATAATCTACATATAAAGAGCTTTCCTAAACTAATAGGAAAAAAATCCTCCAGAGAAATGGGTAAACATCAGAAGCAGGTAATTCATAAAATAATTATATTATGTAGTCAACCTCAACAAGTATTTAATTATTTATTTGTTTGTTTGTTGAGATAAGGTCTCACTATGTAGTTCAGTCCAGCCTTGAACTATGTAGCCTAGGCTGGCCTCAAACTCATGGCAGTCCTTCTGCCTCAGCCTCCCAACTGCTAGGATTATAGGTGTGCGCCAACATGTCCGAAGCAACAAATTTTTCTTTTTTTTTCTTTGGTACTGGGAATCAAACTCAGGAACTTGTGCTTGCTAGGTAGGCACTGTACCACTGAGCTATATCCCTGGCCCAACAAATTTTTAAATGAATAGAAATTTTTAAAAAGAATCAGGAAATAGTAATCAAAATGTGATGACATTTTGTGACAACAAGGGTTAGAGGACCGAACTTTTCACTCACTGTGGGATGGAAATGTAATTTTTTTCTCTGGAGAACAAATTGGAAATGTAAAACCTTAAAACTACATATAGACTTAGACTCTGACATTCTGTCTCTAGGAATTTATGCTATGGGAAATGTACCAAAACACATGCACAAGTATGTTTATGGCATCTTGCTATAAAATACATAAAGCTGAAAGCAACCTAAAGAGCATCTGTAGGGTCAGCCATGATGTGGAATGCAACACAGCTGTTGACACAACAGCACAGACTTCCAGTTAAAGGTGGTGGCTGAATGTACACGTATTTACTCCTTTTAAACACATCTAAATGAAATAATGGAAAAATAAGCCTGGCATGGTGGTGCATGCCTGTAACCCTACAACTCAGGAGACTGAGGCAGGAGGACTGGCATGAGTTTGAAGTCAGCCTGGGTTACATGGTGAGTTTAAGACCAGCCTGAACTACATAGTCAGACTCTGTCTCAAAAAAAAAACAAACCCTAAAACAACAAAATAACAGAAAAATAAACAAGTAAAACTAGCACATGACTGAAAACCTAAGAGTGCTACCTGCAAATCAGTGCATGAGAAACTTCCAGAAAAGAATAAAGTACAAGAGATGACCCTAGACATGTAGTGGGAAGACAGGAACTCATAACCCCAACAGGCAAAATCAAGGTCCTCTGTAACGAATGAGTTTCCCCAGCTGACTTTCTGAATAACTCCTGGATCAGAAGCAGCATCAGTTTAGAAAAAGGGCACAATGGGTGTGGTTGGTTGAGAAATTAACCAAAGGGCATGGAGACAGCAGGCTCTACTTCAGAGGCAGAGCATTTTTGCTCAGATTGGAGTTGGCACAGCAGCTGTATTACTGAGTATTATTCTGACTGTCAGACAGTCAGGTCTAGACCACAGAAGAGCTCTTTAAAGGGGGATGTGCAAGCCACTTCCTCCTACAGCCAGCGTGAGGCCGGAGTGTGGGCATCCTGCACCCAGACTCCCGCCTGTGTCCTTGCCCCTCCTCACACAGCCTTCAAGGCAGGTCAGCCCCTCCCTCTGTAAGCCCTGGGTCACTGAACATGCAGACGCTGGAGGAAGGCACTGGCTACTAACCATGGGCCCGTGGGACAGATGGATGTGAGGAATGGAAGGGAAAGACAATTTACAATTTCTTGTCCATCAACTTCCACATTTCTTGAATTTCTTTACCATGAATATATTCATAATTATAGATTGTACAGCATATATCTGAGTAATTTACATATTTAATCAACACATTAAAATATAAATATAGACTCAGATCAGTATTGATGTCTAATGACACCAAGAGATGTTAAAATAAAAACAAGGTGGCTTTATTTTGTAGGAAAATAGTATTTTATGAATACATATGCTTAGCACAAAGTATGGAAAGACAGACACACAGTGTCAAGCACAGTCGGCTCCACATGGTGAAACCATGGCGGCTTTACTAATTGATATTTCTTTTTTGTACTTAAGGAAATTTTCTGTAATAAGAAATGAGTAACAAGTCTTCTTTACATCAGAACTATGAAGTCATCTAAAAGGTAATTGTTTTAAGTGTTATTAAAGGTACACCATAAACTCAGGGGCATTTATAGCTTTTTTCACGAGAGAGTCTTCAACAACCAAAAAATAGAAGTGGTCACCAGAGACACTTCTGGAAATCAGAAGTTACCTGTCCAGCACAAATGTGAAAAGGAAGACCACAAAAGGGAGCAGAAAGAGGGTCCTTTTCGCCTTCAGTACTGGAGTCCCTGGGTTTGAGGGGGGAGGAATCCCCTTCACTAACTCAGCACTTCAGAGTCTTGCTCCCAGAATACAGAAGTGCTACCAGAGGGTTAGTCGGGTGAATATACAGACTGAAACACAACTATCAGTGTGAGATCACCTCTTGGAAGTTGCACAGGCAAAAACATCTAGGAAAAACTTCAGTGGCGAGGCACAGAAATCGGCATTCAACAAAGAACAGAAACTTACAGGATTCTTGGCTGAAAGTCTGCCGGTCACAGTTCCAGTCTGATTCCATGTAGAAGAAATGGAACCCTTGAAAAGGTAAAAAGAATCAGTTTAAACTATGGCAATACTGTGCTGGGCCTTTCACCCATAACACCAACGTTCACTGCTTCTCTAGAGGCCAATGAACTGCAGACCCTGAAATCCCACCTCTAAAATGTTCTTGGAGTTACAAAACTCCTGCCACGGGATCAGGGATGGTGAAGAAGGAAGTTTCTCTCTCACCCAAGTGGAAGCAGCAACAGGGCAAGTAGGCCTTTATGTCACTTACAACTGCAGTATATGGGCAAGCTGGGGATGATGGGGTATGGGTGACCTGACAAGTCAAGTTGGGACTGTGAGTTACTCACAGGTGCTATTACTTGCTGCAGAGCATCAAACAAGTCACAGAACATCTCTGACTACAGTCTCCTTGTGTATGAACTAAAACAATAACATCTGTCTCAAATGGTTCCAGAAGACAGATGCAATAATAGCTGTGAAAGCAAGAGGTCAGCCACAGAGCTTCCTCTTACATGGACAATCTAGAGGCATAATGCCAGCCTGTACTACGTGGAGACCTGAATAATACCAGAACCACAGTTCAAGAATTAGTTTTAAGAATACCAGACCATTTCATCATTTACTAGAATGATAGAAGTTCTATGTGCATCTGAACTCATTTATAAGCATATTCCTAATCATCATTTTTTTGTTTAAAGCCTGTTACCTCTTTCATGCAAGCTAGTAATCCATCTACAAAGGTTGACTTGATCTTGTGAACCTAAATCACAAAGACAAGAATAATCCTTTTGTTAAGTATTTAAACAGGAACAAGCACCAGAGCAGCACTTCACACCGTGCCAGGCATGTGCTGCTGGTCACCTCAGATGGCCTTAGGTGGTGCCAGGATTGAATAACAGTGGCCCATAGAGAGAGATGCCACCCTTCTCTTTTAAAATAAATCTATTATTCTGGAATAACTTTAAATTTACAGAAAAGTTGCAAAGACAAGCATATGAATAAATGCCCAGCCCAGTGCACCCTGTGTGGGCCCTTTCTACTTCTCACCCTTCAGGAGAAAGGGCCCACTGGTCCTAGTGTGTTCCCTAGCACAGACAGCAGGCCACAGGCTCAGTAAATAACAGGACAGTGGTCTGAGTGATGACAGTTTTCAGTGTAGTTCCCAAACAACAAACCCTGGGAAGTGAAAAGCACTTGTGTGAACACAGAAAGGATGAGTGCTAGAGGAGGGGACTGGGTGTGTCATTAACCCTCTGGTAAACAGTACTGGGAAAGGTAAAATGCTGGCCTGGAGCTTGGAAACCAGGGGGAAGGCGGGGCCTTATGTGGATAAGGGCAGACGTTCATTCACACTAAAGTCACAAGCAAAGACACAGTCAGTCTTTTTTTCTTTAATGATCCCGTTGGTTCCCAGTGCTAGGCAGGACGGACTGCAGACTTGAGCAAGATGATGTCAGGATTCAAGGGAGGAGGGCTAACACAAGGTCAACCTGGGAAACTGTACCCCTTAGAGTACTGTTAGGGTGCTTTAGCAATGGTGATTTTTTTAACAGAGACAGGGCCAGGCACTTCCCCTTCATCACAAACTCCTTACTAAAGAGTCAACTTACCTGCCTGTATTCCAAAATTATCTTGGGTAAGGGATGAAGGTCTTGCAGAGACTTTAACTAAAAAATGAAAATATAGGACACAAAAATCAACATTTAAAAAATTAATAACTTTTTTATATACCAGTAATGGTATTTACATTTACAATAGCTTAAAAAAAGTTAAATACCTAGGAATCAACCTAACCAAGGAGGTGAAAAACTGCTACCGTGAAAATTACAGAACACTGAAGAAAGAAATTGTAGAAGACACCAGAAGATGGAAAGTCCTCAAATATTCATGGATTGCCAGAATTAATATTGTTAAAACGGCCATATCACCAAACTCAATCTGTAGATTCAATGCAATCCCATCAAGGTTCTAATATTATTCAGAAAACTAGAAAAAATAATCCTAAAATTCATATGGAAACACAAAAGATCTAGAACAGCCAAAATGACTGTATTACCTTCCCTATAACTGGGACACAGTACGCGACGCCCACAACTTAAAGGAGGAGAGTTTCACTTTGGCTTGTGACTTCAGAGGGCTCAGTCCATACACAGCGGGCTGGCTCCCGGGCAGAATGTCATGGTGGAAGGGCGTGGTGGAGGGAAGCAGCTCACCCACAGCGGCAGGAAGCAGGGAGAGCAGAAAGAGCCGGGGGCGCCCTCATAGGCAGCCCCCAGTGGTGCCCGTCCTCCATTGGACCCCACTTCCTAACACCATATTCAGCTATGAAATCATCAGCGGACTAATTCATTGATGAGAAATCTAACCACCTTCCCAAATCCCCACTTCCAACATATGAGACTTTGGGGGACAGTTTAGATCTAAACCTTAACATCAATCCTGAGCCAAAAAAAGTACTGGCAGCATCATAATATCCTATTTTACAGTATACTACAAAGGCATAGTAACAAAACAGCTTGGTACTAGCACAAAAGCAGACACACAGCCCAATGGAATAGAATAGAGGACAGAAAAACAAACCCGTGCACTACAGACATCTGATTCCTGACAAGGAGCAGAAAATATACACTGGAGAAAAGTCAGCCTCTTTATCAATGGTGCTGGGGAACCTGGACATCCAGTTGTAAAAGACTGAAATTACATCCTTATCTCTCACCCTGCACAAAATCAATTCAAGCTGGACATGGTGGCGCACATCTGTAATCCCAGCACTTGGGAGGCTGAGGCAGGAGGATCATTGCAAGTTTGAGGCCTGCCAGGAATGCATAGTGAGTTACAGAAGAGCCTGAACAACATAGCTCTGTCTCAAAAATTACCTCTCGTAGTGGTTGATAAATTGTGTCAACTTGAGAAGTTTAAAAGTTTAAGTGATTCAGCAGGGGAGCAGGGTCCTCACTTTGTAAAAATCCTGAGGGCATGGAGATGGTGTGAATGCTATACCTGCCCCTGTGGGGTGGGGCAGTAGCTTGCATATAATATAAGGGAGGAAAAGAGGCTTGCTCTCCCTTTTGCTCTTGTGGCTTTTGCTGTCTTCCACCACCTAGAACTGTTGCCCTTCTGCCACACCTCTCTGCCTTGGAGCCAGCTGATTAGGGACTGAAACCTCTACAAACTGTGGGCTAAATAAATCTTTCCTTCCTCAATTTTGGGTGTCAGGTATTTTGTCTCAGCAATGAGAGAAAAGTTACTAAGACAACCCCCCAAAAATACCCTAAAATTTTGACACTGCCAGAAGAAAACATAAAGGAAACATCTGAAGTTCTCGGCACAGGCAAAGACTTCCTGAATAGGAATTCAATAGCACAAGAAATAATAGCAAGAATCAACAAATGGGACTGCATCAAATAAAAAAGCTTTTGTAAAGCAAAGGAAACAATTAACAGTGAACAGGCAGTCTACAGAATAGGAGGAAATATTTGCCAGCTTATCTTTAGAGAGAGAATTAATACCAAGAATATGTAAAGAACTAGAAAACCTTAACACCAAAAACTCAAATAGACCAATCAACAAATTGAACAGATACTTCCCAAAATAAGAAGAACAAATGACCAATAAGTATATAAAAAAATGTTCAACATGTCTGACCATTAGGAAAACGCAAATAAAAATTACTTTCAGATTCCACCTCATCCCAGTCAGAATGACTAACATCAAAATACAAAAACAACTGGGCATGGTGGCACATACCTGTAATCCCAGCACTCAGAGACTAAGATCACTGCAATTTTTAGGCCAAATGGGCTACTTAGTGAGTTCAAGGCTAACCTGGACTACATAGCAAGACTCTGTCTCAAAAAAAAAAAAAGAAAAAGAAAAAGAATACAAAAACAATAAATGCTCCTGGTGAGAGTGCAGGAGAAAAAGGTACACTCCTACATTGTTGATAGAAATGTAAATTAATACAGCCACTATAGAAATCAGTATGGAAGTTCTTCAAAAACCTAAAACTAGAAATACCACGTGACCTTACTATACCACTCCATGGTATATATCCAAAGGAATTAAGGGTAGCACATTACAGGGATATCTGCACATCTGTGCTTATTGTGTGTGGCACAATTCACAATAGGTAGAATATGAAAGCAGTCTAGGTGCTCAGCAACAGGTGACTAGATAAAGAAAATGTGGTATATATGAACAATGGAATATTATTCAGTCATGAGGAAGAATGAAATGTCATTTTTTGGAAAATGATGGAACTAGAGATCACATTAAGCAAAATAAACCAGACTCAGAAAGACAAGTTTTACATATTTTCCCTAATATATGGATTCTAAACAAAAAATTTGACATGAAACTAGAAAGTACATAGGGAGCTATCCAGACCTCATCATGGTCTAGAGAAGTTTATATTTGTAATCCCAGGGAAAAGTTATTAGAATTCTAGTAAGTAAATTTCAATCTACCACCTCCAGTGCAACTCACGGTGAGAATAAAGAGACACAGACATATCTGCAGTTGTGAGGAGCCAAGGGGGTCATAAGTCCAGTTGGAACAATGGCTAACCCAGGTTTTATGAATTCACGAAGGGTGGAGTGGCTTGGGATTGAGTGACTGTGAGTGACTATGAGGATAATCCTGAGAAGTTTAAGTACTGTGAGCTGGGCTAGGTACAACAGCACCTCTGCAATATGCAGGGAAAGGTATGCAGACAGAGTATCAGATTCCAGTAACAGGCAGCCTCTAAATTGGGAGGAATCTGCATAACACAGTTTGAGGAAGTATCTTGTGTTTTTGGTCATTTGCCTCGGCTTTAATGCCCGCCCTGAGATTTCAGGGCCTTTTTCTCCAGGCTCAATCCCATCCCAGCCAACAGTTCGGCCATCTCTCAGCCTAGCTCACACTTAGTAGTAGGGAGGTATAGGCAGGGCATCACTGACTTGTTGCATTGCTTCAAAGGTTATACCAATATGCACTGCTTAAAGCCACTGAGGGAGTCAAGTATTTTCCTAGCCAGCTCTGTACATATCAATACAGGGAAGTAGGGCAAGGGTTACCTTCTTTCAGAGGGAGCCATCCCTGTGGTCCTCCACAGAAAGAATACTATCATTAGAAAAGATGGAGAGAATAAGGCAGAGAGGAGAGGAATGTAAGGAAGGGTAATGAGCGGTATATAGATCAAAATACATGCATATAGAAAATACTATACAGATGTCCAATATTTTTAAAAATTAATATGCACTAATGAAAATACATTAAAAAGTAAAAATAAATACACCACCAATACATTCCTTTCAACATTTCTAACACTAATTTTCATTTGAAGAAAATCCTAGTAATAAATGGTGGTATATCATCATATTTTCCAAAACAAAGATTTGTAACAAACTCAGTTTATCAAGCATCTTAATCCTACCCCCTTACAAAATTACTCCAATATCCATGTGGGATCTAAAAGTGCTTCACACAAGCCTGGAAACAAGAGTCCTCTTGAGATTCTAATTAGTGAAGTCTAAATCTCATATAGGGGAGAAAACCAAGAAGATGTCTATAGGAATACAACTCAGTGGCTTAACAACACCCAATATTTGGCTCACAGTTATCTGGGCAAAATTCCAGGTAGGTAGCACTACAATTTCATCATGAAGTTTGAAATTAATTTTAAAAATCAAAATACAGCATACATACAGGAAAGTGCAGGATCCTAAGAGCATAGCTTGTTGAAGTATCACCAAGTAAACACTCTTGTGCAACCGCTGCCCACATCAAGAAATGGAACATTCCAGTCTCCCAGGAGATCCCTGCTCCTTCCCCAGGGTGATCCCCACCCTGGCCTACTCTACCAACGTGGCCTACTTGTTCCCATTTCTGAACAACAGAGTAGGATCAGCACTTGATGTGGCTTCTTCTGTGTAATGTTTTTACATCGGGGTCCACCCATCTATGTGGCATGAAGCAGTACCCTTCATTGATTTGCACTGCTATACAGGATTCATAGGAATGCAGGGCAATTAACTATCCATTCTATCTTTGAGGAATATCTAGGCTTTTTTCCCCCTATAAGGCTGTTAAGAATAAGGCTATGATGAACATCCTGGTACAGATTTTAGTTAGTGAACATCTGTGGTTTTGTTGAACACATAAAAAAATAGGTGTGATAGAAAGTGCTGGTCCACATCAGCAGAGATGCTGCCAGTGCTCCACGGTGGAGGTGCCATCCATCCCCATCAGCAACGGATGCAAGTTTCAGCAGCTCCACACCTTTGCCAACATTGCTCTCCAGGTCTGGATTTAGCTGTTCTGGTAAGTGAGAAGCAACATCCTATAGTTTTAATTTGTATCTCCCCGATAACGATAACTAATGAAGCTGGCCACAATGGTACATTTGATTAATTGCATATCCCCTCTCATTAAATGCTTGTATCTTTGGCTCATTTGAAGAATTGGTTTGTGTGTATTTTATACTTCTTGATTACAGGAATTTTTTACTCTGAACAAGATTTTTTTGGTCACTGTATTTAGTGCAAGTATCTTTCTCCCTTCTGTGGCTTGCTTTTTCACTTGTATATTGGTGTCCTTTCATAAATTTAGATTTTTAATTTTACTGTCATCTGATTTACCAATCTTTTCCTTCATGGTTAATGTACTTTGTGTCCTGCTGATGAAT